ATGACTGAGCCAAAGTGCTACAGGTATGGAAGTCAGAAAGTATCGATACAAGGACTGACGCTTTTGTTTTTTTATGACATTTGTTAATAAGAAAAATGTTCAATCAGAATCGGGTTTATTGCCAAGTAAATTTACACATACGAGGAATTTGCCTTGGTGCATAAGAATCCTAAAAAATCAAGGTATTAAATATAAATAAAGATAGATAAAGATAAAGATAGAAAGATCTAAAGCTGTACAAGAATGATATTTACAATGTGTAAGATAGAAAAACTGACTGGAGTGCATTAATGTAATGCATATATACAGGGTGGGTTTAAGAGTCAGTGTCAAAGGGGGTTCCGAGCCTTGTTAATGTTAATGAGGCCAGCTGCAGATGGGAAGAAAACTGTTCTTGTGGCGTGAGGTTTTGGTCCTGATGGACCGCAGCCTCTTGCCAGAGGGAAGTGTTTCAAAGAGTCTGTGTTCAGGGTGGGAGGGGTCAGCCACAATCTTGCCTACACGCCTCAGGGTGTCATTGGCAAATTAATCGGGATATCCTGGCATTGCTACATTGTTTAAAATGGCCATTGTTTAACTTATGTCTCAAGTGTTTATCAAAATGAATTTCACCTTACCTGGAAATGATTTGGATTTTGATTGTCAGTGAACTGGCATTGTGTCACACTCTGTTCCCCCACTGATCGGTTCCCCTTATTTTCTCCCAAATTAGATTTCTACACCAGACTACTATAAATGTAGCTGTAAAGTCATCCACTAAATTTCCTAACATTAGATCCCTGGTCACACATGTAGAGTGCCTCATAGAGGATGCTGATATTATAATTTAGCTTGTCTGTGGTAATTATAACCCCTTTGATTCATTTTAAAATGCTGCATGCAGCGCTAATTATAGTTTTTATGTGTTTATTTATTTATTTTTTTTGGGAAGTTTTTTTGTTTATAATTCTGCATGTCTTTTTTCAGATAAAGCATAATTATTATGAATGTTATTAGTACAAACTTATGTTCACTGCATTGTTTGTCTCATTTGCAGATCTAATCTGGAGCTGGAGCTGAGAAAAGAGCGAGAGCGAAGGAGTGAGCATCATTTCGACGCTGCATCCAGACAGTCCACCACACCTCGGAGGGAGAGGAGACACCCAGAGAACATACCAAAAGTAAACCTTTGATCATAATTAAAGATTTGTCTTGTTGCTGATCTGTCCATTTTGTCCTGACACAATATTTGCGTGTTTTACCAACAGTGTCCCCCAGAGTCCCCATCAGTCAGAAGGGACAACGACCAGTTACACACAGGAGCAGAGGACAAAACCAGTCTGAGCTCCAGCTTGTAAGTAAGCTTGTAACTACAGCTTCTAGAGTAAATTGTTGGTTCCTTTTTTATTAATTCATGTATTTATCTCCTCCTTTAAGGTCCTTGTCACACCATGAGGATGAACAGGTGAGGTTTCAGATGCACAAAAAGAATCTTTACATTTCTTATCAATCGATCTGTTCATGATTGGTTTTACTGGCAGAAAATAAGTATTTACTTTAAATTAAAAACTCTTCACTGAATTTAATTCATGCAGTTTGTGTTGTAATGATGCAAACAAGAACTGAAGTAACGGCTGAAACGGTCAACTAGTACGTTTGGAGTGCTAGTATGGATTTTACAAAAGAAATAATGGCTATTATTAACGTTCATTATGAATTGATTTTATGCAGGACGAGTCATTTGTGGAGATCAGCCAGCCTTCCATCTGTACGATGTGTGAAGAGGACGACTCCCTCCTGAAGACAAAGGTACGAGGTGGGAGATTATTCTGAACTGTGCTCAATCCACTCCTTTACAACATGTAGTGCCTCTATAAATCAGAGGAGGGTGTTAATAAACTCATATAGAGGTCCAGTCTTAATTATCTTAATTTTAACTGTTTTTATACAGGAAAAAATTAATAATTATCAAATGAAGGTTTATACAAATGGGATTTTTAGATCAATTATAGCCAATATTAGCCCCCTCACCAGTAGCTCTAATGTATGATTGGTCAGTCAGTCAGCCCTCAGGATGAATTGGAACGTCTTTGGTGACTCCTGCACCTGTTCATCATTAGCAGATGTTTGCATGCTAACACGGTAAACTAAGACGTTGGGCATTGCTGCCAAACATCACTGTGTTAGCATTGCCACTGTTAGCATGCTGGTGATAGCATTTAGCTCAAAGCACCACTATGCTAAAGCGCAGTCTGACAGAGCTGCAAGCATGGGTGTAGACTCTGTTTTGTTTAGATCTGTGATATTTTGTCAAACCAATCCAACTTTGAATCACATAAACAGTGAACTGATTTGAGGTTTTAGAATACGGGGTTGTTTCCAGCCCAGTTCAGAGTTAATAATATTGAAATGAATCTCCCAGAAACACCTGGAAGAAAAAATACAGTTCCTTTTCACTGAGAAAGTCATTAGACTGTAAGAGGTAAGGCCCAGCTGGCATCATTGGATTTAACCAGGGTTTTTAAGGTTAATTGAGGTTAATTCTGCTTTAGTGTTTAGTTATAATCCTGTTATTCTTTCTCCAGAAACAGTGTAAGAACTGCAGTGGGGTTTTCTGTGAGAGCTGTGTGACCAAAGAGCTGCCGTTACCTTCCTCCATTCTCCCAGAGATTGTGTGTACCGCCTGCTTCTCTCTGTTACTCCAACAATACGCTTCAACGCCACCATGAAACAACTCGGCATTTTACTACAAGACACAATGATCAGACACATGGACACCAGAAGCATTGATCTGTAAAACTGGCACTGCAAAAATGCACTTTTTGACTTCATGACTCAACACGTTGAATGATGAAAGATCTGATGAAGTCCTGTGAGTTCTGAACTTGCATTATTTTAGTTACTTTAAGTCAGCGATGTCCAGACATTTGCTGTTGAGAGCTGTTTGTATGCAGGTTTTCATTTTTCAAATACAGGTGTAGCCATAATTCTTCCTTTCTGAAAGTGTGTGTTGAGCTGCTGTGTTACCTTTTTTTCTAGTGAAAACCTGCACTCAAAAAGCTGAAAATGGTGCCTGGTTGGAGATAACTGATTCTAAAAAGACAACTTCAATCTCATGCATTCAAAAACTGAATTTCCACACTGTCCACTAAGTGGATTAGTGATTAAAAGGTCAACTGACAAATATTTTTAACCTCAGTTTTAAAAGATGAAAAAGGAAAAACTGGACTTTTGTTTTGGCCACAACTGTTCTCCGTTATTGAAACTTTTCATTAAGTCTCTCAGACGAAGCATCTGATTCAGTGTGATACTGACACAATCACTTTTGACCAAATTATATTATACTACGATATTAAATGTGTCAGTATTTTGGGAAACACTATATGTGCTGTGAAACACTTTTTATACTCAAAATTGTTCAAAACAATCCCAAAAAATATTCATACATTAGTCGTACACTGTCACAGGTCTAATGTGATTTAATAAAATTGTACAACTGTAAAACTGTAATGTAGAATTTAGGACCAGGAAGAGACAAATATTGAAGTTTGATCACAGCGATATGATAAGCAAAATCCTGGACTGCTAGACTATATCTAGTCTCTTATCATGATATCAATATTTGATGAACATATCATCCAGCGTTGGTGTTCAGACTGTAGAAGAAAGTTGATTTTGCTGTTTAGTCTTTATGTGAAAGGAATGGTTGGACATTTTGGGCAGTGTGCTCATTCTAACTAAATTCTCTGAGCACTTATTACTTATTGGCTGTTGTTTCGTATCTGCCGTACAGACTTAAGCATATTTCCAAAAATGACAGACCATTCGAGTTTACAAAGCTGAATACTATGGGTATTATATTTCTTTACTGCTGATTGTTGTGTTCTGTATCAGTTAGAAGCGGCATTAACAAAAAGGGCTTAAAATCATCTCCTGCTGACAATATTTTGTTGTTTATCTCAAGGTGTGGCAGCAAATCATAGAACAGTCGGATATTTAGATTTTAGTCTTTTCTCTGGATAATCTAACTCCTTTTCTGGCCATTGTAACATATTATCGCACTTTTAAATGCATGGCTTTTCTGCCTGCCTGGTTTGAAGTGGGCATATCAGTGCATCTTTAGAACAGCTATTTTTATGTTTTGTTGATTTTTATGAAGAATAATTAGAAGCTTGGTAAAACCAGTTAAGACATTTATTCGTTCTTGTTGAAGCTAATTAACACGTGAGATGGAAAGGCCTCTTAGATCAACAATAAACTTTTATTAAATTTTGCTGGTGTATGACTGGATTATTTTAACCTGTATGTCATTTCACATAAAGAGTAAAGAGTTTGGTTAATCCTTAGATCCTCCTCTGTAAGCAAGAACTGAAAACTCTTCTCCTAAAGTATCTCAGGGGACAATTTCAGTGTGCAAAATGTGATTTGTTGCCTCAAATTTTGCTTTTTGGTTCATCCACACAACAAAATGTATCCTCCTGCAATTAGTTTTACCATTCAAAGCGACCGATGCTAGTTTTTGGACAGAACACTTCGATTAAATACATTTTGTAAGAGATCAAGTAATGAGTAATTCAGAGTAATAAAGATTATTCTTTTTTTAGATATTTGATTGGATCACAAAGCTCTACTTTTAACACCTAAGTGTCATGAATATATTTGGATGTTATCTCAAGTTAATAAACCAGCATGATCCTGATGTACTGATTCAGCTGCCAAGATCAGTAACTATCATTCTATAAATGGTCTTTTTAATGTGAGACGTAACTCACAATAAACGTAATAAATAAATCCACAATTCTGCATATATTTAATTATAAATTATATAAATTCTGTTGTCATTTTCACTCACAGCTACCGTTGAAGTGTTCATTCATTTTAGAAACTCTCACACTTGACCAAGTGAAACCATGAAACACAGCAGGCTTTCCTTTAAAGCATTAGCCAGTATCATCACTCATGATGTCAAGTTAAACTCCAGAGAGGACACGTTCTGTCAAGACACAGTGACAAAATAAATATGCTGTTAAGACAAATTGATTGCATGTTTATTTATATAGCCAATAAATTAACATGAGACATTATTGTAGAGTGTCCTGGCTCTTAGGTACCCCGCGTCTTCACATTACAGGAATTCTCTTAGTGGGTGTCAAGAGAAAAATGCATTTTGAGGCATGTTTTAACATTAATAACCTTTACTAACATTACAGAGCAGAATACAACTTTATTATAAGTAGCGAGAGGAGGAGAGACAAAAGGCCGTTTCTCTTTTGACAACAGGGATGTTTTATTGTATGGTCTACGAGGCAGGCTGGAAAATGAATACAATAGTCTTGTTTATGTGTTTGGCATCTTTGTGTCGCCATTCACCTGCAGGAGTAAATACAACATGTTAAATCACATCTGGAGTAAGAATGTAACCTCAGCAGTGCAAGTTTGTGCAAGAAGCTAAAACCAGTAACATCACTCTTTTAAAAGATTTTGAAACCAAATATATTTTTACAAAAGGAAAGCAGCACAGAGACTGCAATGTGTTTCATAAAAAGCTGGGAATTCCAAGATGGTGGGATGTAAATACAACTCTTACTGTGATCCAAGACAAACAAGGACACCCACTAAACTGTCCCTAAGAGATGTACAATTCTCCTTTGTCATTTACATTTGTGCACTGCTGAGAGCCAATTACTGTGTCATATACATTAGAGGGTGTGTAAATCAGTGTTTCTCACCTTCTACCTTCTATTCTGGTCCAGTTTTCAGGAATAACTGGATGTACCTTTCTCCTAGAAATTAGAGAAGGTTAAAATGTTGAGTGAAAGTTCAACTTGAGGTGACCAATGAACAGCAATAATTATTTTGACACGATAGAAAGCATCCTGATTGATATACACTGATATTCCTATGTTATTAAAAATGCCTACGTCAGCTGGTCCTGGTGTTAAAAAAAGGCTCTCCAACAGTCTTACCCATATACTCTCGGTCTCTGGACATGGCGTCTATGGCATCCTGGTGGCAGCTGAAGTAAATCATGGCCTTTCCATTCGGGTTGCCCTGTGGGCCGTGTTCAATCAGGATCTTGGACACAGCAATAGGAGAGAAGAACTGCAAGAGGAAAAGCACATCAGAAAATCCTGAGTGACCTCTAATGCAGCAACACAACGAGTTGTAACATCTTGACGTGCTTGTCTTAATTTTTTGCTCTTTTTTTACCCCAACAATGTCTTCTCCGGTAGCCCCGAAAGGAAGTCCTCTCATAAGGATGTAGAGAGAATGGGGGGGCGAGCTACTATGAGGTCCTGATAGAGCAGATACACCAGGATAAACAGTTTTAATAAATGTGTTTACGGACAGCAGAAATGTCAAATATCTGTAAAACATCTTCCCACTTTTCCAGTCTACTAACCTTGTTAATGTGTCATTTGGGCTTTCATTTTGTTTTTTGTTTTTAAGGACTTGATCAATTAAAATATATTTTCACCAGGATTCTGTCCCTAACCATCAAAAATCCAGAAAAAAATGCACCAATGACTACTTAACTTAATGAAGAAAATCATCCACACAATCAAATCTATGCAACAATCAGGTAGCCACCTGTTTTAGAACCACAGTGTTTGAGCTACATATTATGATGAACATCAGATTCTGACCCTGATTTATTCTTAGATAAATTTCTTACAGATTTTTTAAAATAATAATAATAATAATAATAATAATAATGATAATACATTTTGGGGGTACTACAAACTCAATAATGAACCCCTAAATCCCCTTACGAGGTGTGTTGATCGGTGAGGCAGGCCTCCTGGTCGTTCTAGGAGGGCTGGGCTGAGGAGGAGCTGACGTTTTTTTTGAAACAATCTCGCTGCTTTTGCTGGGAAACACCTCAACGTATCTGCAAGTACACACGGCAAGGGATGAGCAACAGACCGACAAATATGATGCGCAAGTGAAGGAAGTGTGTAATGTGAGCATGTGCAGAACCCTACCGGTTTCCGATGAGACCTCTGTCTCTCTGCAGAGCTTCATCCGCTGCTTCTTGAGTAGAAAATACCACAAAGGCCTCTCCACTGTTTCTCATTCCGCTGTAGTCTTTGACAAAGGTGATCCCATTCTCTATTATATCCAAACCTGAAAGACACAGTTTACAGTTTTTCATATTTTTCATGAACTCATTTTCCACTGAAATGTAATTTGGGTTGGCCAGGTAACCTCATACTGTCAATGTGTCAACGTGTACTTTACTTGAGTATTTCCACTTTATGCAACTTTATACTTCTAATCCCCTATACCACACAGTCAAATATTGTACTTTCACTTAGTAACTTACTTTTATTTGAATTTGAATTAAATTAAATTGAAGAAGCGTTCCTTTGTGGGTTGTAAATTGTCCTACTTTAAAGGGTAAAGTAGAAACCCTCTTTGATTAGTTGGGAAATGCCATCTCAAAGGACAGCGACTCTGGAAACATATGATCTTATAGAATATGATGCTGTAGATGTGAAAATGAGGTCAACATCTACAGCAGTAAAATGGAACACACACATTCACGCAGCAGTAATATTAATCCAAGAATCAGGGCTCCAGAGTGCGACCAATTTGGTCACACATGCGACTAATAATTTTTCTAGGTCGCACTGGTGCACCTGACGCTGCCCGGGTGAAAACATAAATTTATTTCGCAAGTGCATCATCTCTCTGTGTTCTCCTGTGACCGAACTCACACACTCATGGTAGGATCATATCGTGTTCTAAACCAATAAGAGACAGAGCTCGGGCGGGTCTTTGCCTCTGATTGGCTGTGGTCCTGTTCACCGCGCTAAATTGTGTGTGTTTAAAAATTGCCGAGCCCCAGTCCTTCGGCGACAGCATCAGACTCGGAACCAGAGGAGGAGACCACAGAGTCTGGGATAGAGCCCGGCTCCGAGACCCAAATTAAAAAGGTCAAAATATATTCCTTCAAACAGGACTGGCTGAAACAATTTCACTGGCTGAGGTACAACAAAGGACGTAACGCAATGCATTGTGTGTACTGTCAGGAGTGCGGTCAGAATATGGCCGGAAATAGTGCATTCGTGAGCGGGTCAACAACGTTTCGTATCGAAACTTAAAAAAAACATAACATTTCTAAAAAACACACGATATGCCGTGACAAGTGTGTAGAGAAAGTGGCCCCTCTCCCAGCTGCATTTCAGCGGCAGGTAGTAGTAATCAGGTACTCTTTTATTTGGAAATGTTTTATTTTGCTTAGTGTTTTAGTTTGAAATGTTCAATTTCAGCTCAGTGAAGCACTTTAAACACTTTATTTTTCTTTTTATATATAACAGTGCTTCAAATAAAGACAAGCATTTCTCTACACCTTATTCTTGTTTAAAAATCATTCACATGATATAAAAGTTATGGAGAGCGATAAAAAGGTGACCTTATGGCGTTAAAGGCGACGCAATGAAAAATTTGGGTGCACCTAAATTTTGTGCTGGTGCACCTAAAAAAAAAAAAGTTAGGCGCACCAGTGCAACCAATGCAAAAAGTTAGTCTGGAGCCCTGAACATCATATACAATAGTAAATACTGATACCATTTTACTGCAGAATAAGTACTTTTACTTTTGATACTGCAAGTACAATTTGCAAGTAAGGGGTTGTTTTTTTTTTTAAATCACAGTATACCTGAAAAAAAATGAACGATGTCGGCCTCAGTAGAGCTGAAGGGGAGACCTCTGAGCCGCACCACCTGTTCACAAACTTCAGTATCGAATCGTTTCTTCAGGATTTCTTCAGCATCTCTGTTTGTCACTTCATACACTTTAAAAACACAAAGAGCAGGACATGAGCATTTTCATATTGGCTAATTTGTCCATTATTGACTGAAAGTTACATTATTAAAAATAATTCAAAAGTCCAAGTAAGCCATGACAGTGTGACAGCATGAACAACAGCAGGACCCTGAAACTGAAGCAGCTAAATGCGATCCAGCCACCACTAATATCATCATTTCCAATCAGGGATTTCCCTGCTATGGCATTTCAAAATGTCTTTGTAAGTCCAATCAGCATCTGTATTTCATACTTATACTAAGAGACAAACCTTCAACATAGCGTGAACCGATGAACTGTCGGTGCTTATCCAGAGCTTTGTTGACATCCTCCTCATGCTCAAGCTCGATGAAAGCTTGTCCCATTGGCCTCCCTATTTTATCCACAACTAAATGGATCCCATTCACCCCGTCACGGATCCTACACTCTGAAGCACAGAAAAAAAGAATTACTCAAAATTGCTGTTGGACAATCAGGAGAGCAAATGTAACAATTTCAGACCACAGTGTAAGACTAACATTTGTGGCATTGATTTAGTAATTAAAGAGTTATGACAAAGATATATTATACTGTATGCTGAGGCAGGATGTTCAGCAATACGAAAATGGTCTCTACAATCAAATCCAACATTAACAGAAAGTGATTACATTTTAGTATCAGTTTAAACTGATTAAACTTGAACACTTGAATAATATTAATGTATTCGTGATAAGAAAACATCGATCAGTAATCTACCCGACATATCAGTGGGGCTCTAATTGCTACCCTAAGTAGAGGTGTGACACTCACTGACCGTTACAGAGTCTGCCCAAATCCAACTCTCACCTGAGAAGAACTGCAGGAGTTCCTGAGCCGAGCACGACCACGGTAAACCTCTCACCTGCATGATGTATACCTCCTTCTTCAACGGTTCGGGATCAAGCTGATAGTCCGGCAGCGGTGGGTATTCATCATCAAAAGGTGTTTCTGCCTGGAAGACAAAATGGAAATATGACTACACTATGCCACACACTTGCTGAAGCCACCACCGCCTGGGGCTCTGAGGCAGTTACTGCAGGTAATCCTGCTTTAATGCCATTCCACCCAATGGGGTACACCATGGATTATTTATTACTTATAATGCTTGAATACATTTTGCCATCACAATGCTTTGTTAATTGTCTCTGTATTAATTAATCCATATTTCCCCTCTCTACCTAAATGTAGTGGTACATTTACTCAAGTACATCTGGAGGTACCTGTTCTTTACCTCAGCTTTTCTTTTCATGACACTTTTACTGCACTACACCTCAGAGGGAAATACTGGACTTTTTACTTCACTGTCTTTTTTCCTTACAGATTTAGTTACTTGTTGCTTTACAAATTAAGACAACAAGAGTTTATAAAATATAATGCTTTGTTATAAACGTAACTACCCAGCAGTATATATTGTGTACACACTGACAGCATTTCTCACCACTGTCTGAATTTTTATAAACCCAACAATCGGTCCATTAATGGAGAAAATAATCAACAGATGAATCCATAATGAAAATAATCATTAGTTGCAGTACTAAACAAAACAGTAACGTCCTGCTTTTATATTAATGCATGAGTAATAATACTCTAATAGTAGTCACAGGGGACATTTTACAGTACTTTCACTTTCTATACTCATACACTTTCCTGGTTATACTTACATAACGTTACATACTTATGTTACATAACTTAAGTAATATTTATAAAGCAGGACTCACACTCACGTGTAGCTAACGTTATGTGTTTTTACAGAGCGATATTAGAACATTTACTAAATTATCTGAATACTTCCTCCACCTCTACCTACATGTAAGAATATAACTACCTCTTAAATACACTGAAACTGCTCACTAAGCTGTAGTAAACTGCTGATAAAACAACAACAACAACAATCTATGAAGGTTGGTACAGCACACATTCAGCCTCGTTGCCAGGTGATGCAGTCACTGTAAGGTCTATGCTACATGTGGCTAACCTTGCTACAGAAGCCGGACTGGCTGGTTTTCATTAAGGACTGAAGCTGACGGAGTCTCGGCAGACACACTGTCCGGGTTGTTGATGTCCATGTTCGCTGCTGAATGATCCCACACCTGCCCGAAAACACGTCGCCGCTTGTTTTCCTCCCTGCCGACAACGTGAGCTGTCTCACTGCGACACACCGCTGCACCAACAACGACAGCGCCTTAGTGCCAGCGGACATTTTATCTGAGCTCAACCGGCTCTCAGGTCAAAGTGCAGCAGCCTGGTAGACTGAAGGTAGACTGAAGCGAGGAGATATCCCGCCAGGTTCAGCTCACGTCCTCTATTAATGTAGCTCGTTGGCTTAGCGAGCTACCGGTTCAGGACTAATTCACAAGCGCTGAGCGGACTCACGCGTGTTAGTCAAGGGCATCAGTAGAAGGTTTTAAGGGTGTTGTCAAGCTGACAGGAAAACGCTTTCAACTTCCGGTTAACTTCCGGTAGTTGGATGAATGCGGTAAAGTGTGTGTCGTGATTTTTTTTTTTTATAATTACTAAATGTTTATATATTATCCATCTATTGATTTATTCTGTGACAAACAACACACACGTCACACTTGTGTAAATAGTAATCAACAATATAATTAAATAACTTTAATACAGAAATACAAATAAAATAATATTTGGTCAATTATTTAACGTTACTGTTGTCATAAAAATATAATAATTATATTAGGTGTGCTATTGTGAGTACAATTTAGAGGAAATGTAACCCAAAAACATTTTAAAAAAGATTTGCCTCAATTGGCAGACTTAATCTATTCTTATTATTATTAGTTTTTATTTGATCATATTTTGTCTTTTGGTGTTTTCTCTTATGTTAGGAGACATAGTTTGGATCAACTGTGAAAAGCGCTATATAAATAAAGCTGAGTTTAGTTCATTTGTACACAACAGAAAACACTGTCATTAACAGTTTCAACAGAATAAATATTTTAAAATAATAGATCTGCCTGCTTACTTATGTTGTCATATTTCCATTTCACTATATGAATACACTGTTCTGTCATAAGCACAGCTGAATTTACATTTTTAAAAAGTCTGAAATATCCATCCCAGTAAAATACACATATAGTCACACCATTTTAAACTTATCTAATTATTAGGCTATATGGGAAGAAGTATTGCCACTACTCCTGTCAACTTGACTTCTCCCTAGTACTTCCTCTCTGTCATTCTGCTCTTACTGTCTCATGTATACTGCCACCTAGAGGTTAGGATGACAAGAAATAAGATTAAGATTAAGATAAAATGTTCCTTTATTGATCCCCCTTAGGAAAAATTCCAAATTGACACAGCAGCATAGGGCAATGTAGTGCAAAAGAAAGGGTACAGAAGTGGAGGTACAACAAGATATCAGTCCTCAAATCCCCTTATCTTGTTTGTCATGTAACAATGATATGATTTTACATGAATGATGAATGACACATTCTAAATAAAATATCCAGGTGATGTACATTTTAAAAAGGTATAACTGATTCAGAAAGAAAAAATAAAATAAAATAAATTGGACTGTCAACTTTATGTTGAGCAAGAACTGGACATTTCCATATATCACTTATGATACTGAACATGTATAAACTACACAAAAGCATGGTGAGAATTAAAGATTGAATCAAAATAATAATATTTGTTTGTGTTTTCAAAACACCATAAGCAAATATTCTGATGACGTCCATCAAAAAGTAACAAAAGGCATGAGTTACCAACTATGGATTTTGCATAAAGAAAATATTTTAAAAAAATACTTTATAGCTCAAGATCTTTCAAGAGATGAATTTCAGAATTAAAACAGTTATGTGTACATGTTTTTGAGTTGCATGAAAACAACAAATTAAGATGAAAACTACTTTGCCTAATCTGTTTCAGACAGTAGAGACAATTCTTGTCCAAAAATCAATTCTGCTGAAGAACAAAAAACAATCAGAGCCACTGAAATTAAAACATGATGAAAACTCAAATAACTCTTCAGAAGATCCAGAATTCTGATAGATAAAACTGATGTCTGATGATGATAAAAATTAAAGAATCACACAGCAGAAAACAACGTATTTGTTATAGTGGATACACTTATATTGTTATAATGTGGTCTGATTAAAAACAAGATGCTGCCAACCAAGATAATAAGTTATAATTTAAAGTGTTTTAGTACCTATGAAAGCTAAAGCTCATATAATATAATACCGTTTCAGTATTTGGTATATTTTTAATCTGGTTTAAACTTTATTTACTCTGATTTATTTTCTAATTGTCTTTCAAAAGTGATGAATAATATTGAACTGAAAACAATTAGACATAAATGTTTTCATTGTGCATTGAAACCACTTTATTTAATTTATTTCAGACCACAGAAACTGAGAGAAAAAACATTTCTGTGACCCTCAAAATAAAATCAAATCTGCTTTAGACATAAAATAAAAAAGAAAGACAAACAGATCCAGAATGTTGGCTTGCTTGTCTGATGATGAGTTTAGACTCTAATAAATCTCTAACAATATTGATACAGAGGTTTATTAAAGGTTAAAGTTGGAACAATTAACTTCCATTCCTTAACATCAAAGAGAAATATCAGTTTGACAGATTTTGATATCAGCAGTTTTAGCATCACCAGCATTTACAACACAGAAATATGGGAAGAGTTCCTCAGTGAAATTGTCTCTGTGAGTGAAGATGTGAGTCATGTCTTCAGGGTTGTAGGAGGACACCTCTCCTCCGTCATAGTCCAGCTGGACTCTGATCTTCTGGAGACCCTTCTTCACTGTGACAGTATAACCAAGACAATCAGTGTATTTTCCATTATCATGCAATAAACACCAGATTCCATATTTTGGTGAAGCATTTATCTCCCCCTTCCTGTCAATTGACTCTTTAGCTAAACCTATATTCCAGCGAGGATGATCTCCCACCTCCACCTCCCAGCTGTGTTTCCCTGAGCTGAAACCCTCAGATCCCAAAACATTGGCATACTTAGTGTTTCTCTCTGGATTGTCAGGAAGCTGCTGGTTTATGTCTCCACATCTCACACTGGTCAGATCATCAGACAGATAGAGCCAGTGGTTTGCAGTGTTTGGGTCCAGAATGACAGGACTGAAGTGGACCTTGTCCTTCATCTTCTCCCAGACTCTGAAGGACAGGTTGCCCAGGTGTTTGGCCACATCTATCAGCGCTCCTGAGACCAGCTGTGGGTCTGACAGTGAGCACTGGACTCTGGCTCTGGTCTGAGTGGGTTTATAACTGCTGAGGAATGGCACGTTGTGTTTCTGCAGCTCTTCTTCAACAGCAGAGATACTGTCTGACAGAGAGGAGATCTGCTCCTCAATCCTCTTCATCTCTCTGCTGACAGTCTTCTTATTCTGCTCCTCTTCCTCCCTCAGAGCTGCCAGTCTGGACTCCTCTTCCTCTTTCAGGAACTGGTGGAGCTTGTTGAACTCTGCTCTGATCTGCCTCTCTGTGGACAACAGCTGCTTCTTGGAGTGTTGAATCACTTCATTGTATGTTTCCTCCACTTGTTTGTATTTGTCCCTCTTGTCCTGTAGAGACTTTAGGTCAGATTTCAGCTGGTCCTTCAGGTCACTGACTGCTTGTTCTATAGGAACCACCTTGTGACCAACGTGGTGAGGAAAATCACAGACAGTACACACAGCTCTATCTTCATCCTTACAGAACAATTTAGGCTCTTCTTGATGTTTATCACACACCACCTCCACCTTCTTCTCTCCTTTTTCTGTCTCAGATGATCCAGATTTCTTTCTCCCAGCAAAGGAGTCAGCCAGTTCCTTCAGTGCAAAGTTCACCAGAAGATCTTGTTTTGAGGATTTTCTTTTACAAATGGGACAGTTTTTGTTTTTAGCTTGAACCCAGAATTTTTGCAAGCAGCTTGAACAGAAGCTGTGATTGCAGCTCAGAGACACAGGATCTCTGAAAGTCTCTGAACACACATGGCAGTTCAGGTAACTTTCAAAAAGAGCAGTTTTCTCAGCCATTTGTTATTGAAGATATTTTCAACAGCCGGACTCACCAAGTTACTGTCTCTTGATTGTTTCAAATACTCCAAACGTGTGTTTTCCAGCAGAGATCTCACACCTTGTAATGGCGTCTCAGCTCTGTTCAACAATGTCAGAATGTGCTTTCACTTTCTTTTACCTCAGTCATGGGTTGATTTATTAACAGCAGTAAACACTGGCATGTCCTTTTACCACCAGCAGATGGAGGTGTCAGGATTTGAAGTTTAATATTTCCCTTTTGATTTTAAACAATTTCCTTGTACAGGCAGTTGTTTTTCAGACAAAAATAAGATAAAAGGCAACATATTAACAGAAATGGTCACAAACAAGGAGAGGATTGTAGTATTTTAACATAAAGAGGACTGAACATTTCAACAGGCTGACTGACACTGAACCAGTTTTACAACATTTTTATTTTTCAGTCACTTTAAAAGGAAATATGTTCTGCTAATATGTCTGCATGACTATATTCATTTCATCGACTTATACTAAATATAAAACATTCAGTTAACATAACTTAAATTTTTTATCACAAGGCAAAGCGGCCAAATGTATGTGCAATTTATTTTGTAAATATTTTCTAAAAACCTGAGCGGTCCAATCATAACTTTCTCTTCTGCAGGATCACACAACCCATGTAGGCTGAGGCCATGTTGCCCCACTCCCAATCCCCCTTTCCTGTCTATTATCATCTGTCCTATCAAATAAAAAATATATTAAAACAATACTTAAAAAAGTATAATAAAAATGAGAAATATCTTTAGAAAATGTAATTAGTTTCTTCTCGTCTGTCCATAAATGTTGAAGTTAAAAGAGTTTGAAAAAAAGGAAATGTAACCATTAATAGCATTTGGCTAAAGGTGGTTGTATAATCTTTTCCTTGATGATTTGATTTTTTTTTATTTGTAAAGTCACATGATTGTTTGAGAGATGTATGTAAAGAAACTGGAAACAGCTTCATATACTGTATATACTGTAATCTTTAGTTAATCAAGTCAGGCAACATCCAGCTAATATTATATTACTATTATTATTTTAATATTACACTAAATTGGTCTGCTGGCATTATCATTAACTGGACATTACCATTCATCATTCATGGCTAAATGTATGAGCAATTTATTTTGTAAATACTTTGTAAAAAACTTGAGGGGTCGAATCATAACTTTCTGTATATTAAATTGTTAATTAGTCAAAAACAGAACATACATTAATTAGTTTCAGGAGCTCACCTGGAAGATGGCACAACCCATGTAGACTGGGTCCTTGCCATGTCATTAACTGGACATTTCCATTCATTGTTCATGTTATTAACCATATATACACTCATATAGTGTGAAGAAGCACTGTAAGAATTAAAGACTGAATTAAAATAAAACTCTACTAAAACATAAATAAGAGATCCATAACTGAAATAACTCATCATGATCCAAAAATATCAAAAACTAAAACTGATGACTGATGATTAAAAAAAAACATGCTATTAAAGCATTCATGCAGTGGATATATACCACTATACAATGTTGTAGTCATATTAATACTCCACCTCCTCGAGGCACTGGCCGAGGAGGTGGAGTAGCAGCCATATATGATTCGAGCGTTTTAATGGACCCTAAACCTAAACTAAATTATAACTCATTTGAAAGCCTTGTTCTTAGTCTTTCTCACCCAAACTGGACAACACTGCAGCCAGTTCTATTTGTTATATTGTACCGCGCTCCTGGACCATACTCTGATTTTATATCTGAATTCTCAGAGTTTTTATCAAGTTTAGTCCTTAAATCAGATAAAGTAATTATTGTAGGTGATTTTAATATTCATGTGGATGTTAACAATGACAGCCTTAGTAATGCATTTATATCATTAATAGACTCAATTGGCTTCTGTCAGCGTGTAAATAAACCAACTCATTGTTTTAATCTCACTCTTGACCTTGTTCTATCATATGGCATTGATATTGAACATTTAATAGTCTTCCCACATAATCCTTTCCTATCTGACCATTATTTAATAACTTTTGAATTCATACTATTAGATTATAAGCCATTAAGCAAAACTTCCTACAGCAGATGTCTATCTGACAGTGCTGTAGCTAAATTTAAGGCGGAGATTCCTTCAGTGTTTAATTCAATGCCATGTCTGAATTTAACAGAATCCTATAACAACTTAAGTCCCTCTGAAATTGATAATGTTGTCGATAGTGCTACAGGCTCACTACGATCAACATTAGACTCTATCGCTCCTATAAAAAGGAAATTATTAAAACATAGGAGACTAGCACCGTGGTACAACCACCAAACCCGCCAGTTAAAACAAATAGCTAGGAAATCTGAAAGGAAATGGCGCTCTTCCAAATTATCAGAATATCACTCAAATTGGCAAGATAATCTTAAAACTTATAGAAAGGCCCTCCGTAATGCCAGAGGAGCCTATTACTCAGCACTAATAGAAGAAAATAAGAATAACCCTAGGTTCCTCTTCAGCACTGTAGCCAGGCTGACAGAGAGCCACAGCTCTATTGAGCCACATATCCCCATAAACTTAAGTAGCAATGACTTTATGAGCTTCTTTTATAATAAAATTATTACTATTAGAGAGAAAATTAATCACCAACTGCCATCAACAGTTATCAGTGGCTCCCCAAGTTCAGGGACTTCTGCCAATGTAAA